CCTTTTTTTTGGTATTCTCACGCAAATTCTTCTGCTAGTTGGGGTTTAGTCCAAATCTGCATCCTTTCCTTTAAGGCTCAGGGGTCCAAGATTATCTTCTGTGTCTGTGTTAATTGGTTTCCCTTTTCTTTGTTGAAGAGGGTCTGTGCAATCCTTCTGCCTAGTCCGCCATCTTGCCCCCAGAATCCTACTAGCATTTCTTGCCAGCACTTCTGCAAAGTATCCTTTCTGGTTTCCCCTAATTATACTGTTGAACCTTCCCACTTCTCTTCTTCACACAAAATGTAGAATGATTGTTTTTAAAGATCCTGCCAGTTCTTGTTCCAAATCCTCCAGTCATTTCCATTTCGTGCAGTAGGAAATCCAGACTTTTGTATGGCCTGTGAGGTCCTATATGCTCCGGCCTACAGCTGTCCGTCACGTCCCATCTTCTATTGTATTCCCCCTCGCCCACTCTGTTTCAATCACACGGCTCTTTTGTACCTCATACTTCACATATGCCCAAAACACTCCTTCCCCGGAGTTTCTTCTGCCTGGATTGCTCTTCTCTTGATAGCCTTAAACCTTAGTCTCTGCCAAATTTAAGTCTGCAAAAATGTCATTTCAGAAAGAGCTTCTCTCTTTGGTTTCATTCCAAGTCATCTCTCACTTTTCCCTACTTTATTGTTCTTCATAACAGTTAATAACACCTGACAGTGTTATTATCTGTCTTTTCCCACTAAAGTGAAAGGTCCGTGAGAGCAGTGATTTTGTTTTACTCACTGCCTGTATCTTAGGATTCAGAATCCAAAAACCAAACTCACTGCCACCAAGGTGATTCTGATTAATTACAACCCTTTAGGACAGAGTAGAACTGCCACATAGGGTTTCCAAGACTGTGAATCTTTACGGAAACAGACTGCCTCATCTTTCTCCCATGGAGTAGCTGATAGGTTCAAAAAGCCAACCTTTTGGTTAGAACCGAGTAAGTGCTTTAACCACCACCAGAGCTCCTAGGACCCAGAACAGTGTTGGGCAAATAAAAAACAACAACAATAATGCATGTTTGTCTAAGACCTGTCTTCTGAAATGGAAGGAGGAAGAGAAAAGGAAGAAAAGAATCCAAATAGTGAGGTCAACGTGTTCTTCTTACAGTACCTTTATTTACTTGCATAGCTGTTTATTTCTGTAAGACAGAATTTTGTGGAAATATGATTGCTAATTCAAAAAATGTATATGGTATGTTATATTGAATATATATGAAATGGTGTGCTTATCTGGCTTTGTCTGAAGATTGAAAAAAAATATGTGATTAACTGGAAAAAAATGAATGTTGTTGCTTACTAACTAGACGTGCTTGTGTTAGATTGTTACAGAGCAGCAAACTGGCCAAAAAATCCAGATCGTGACAGGAGTTGATCATAATTCGCAAGGCAAGCAGTTCATTCTGACGAATCATGACGGCTCTACTCCAGGCAAAGTCATACTGGCCAGGCAAGATTCCACTCCAGGGAAAGTTTTTCTCACAACTCCAGATGCAGCAGGCGTCAACCAATTGTTTTTCACAACCCCTGATATGTCTGCACAACACCTTCAGGTAAATTACTGCAGAAATGTCTTTTTATCTTAAAATTTTTCAAAAGATTCAAAAGTGTGTCATGCATGGAGAGGTGGACACTGGGAAGAGGTAACTATGGGGAGGAATTGGGAGGGGAGCTGCTGCATTGTGGTAAACTGTGGTCAATGTCATGAGACAAAGTGTATGTAAACTGCTGTATGGAAAGTGAATTTGCTCTGTAAATCTTCAACCAAATCACAATAAAAAAAAAAAGAGAGAAAAAGAAAAGTGTGTCATAAATATAAGTCTTGCTGTTAAGACCTTATATATACGCATATTCCATAGAACAAAAAATCCTGCATAAACGTGAGCTGTGTAGTATATCTGTGACAATGGCCCTCTTATGGGCCACTACACTTTTAACACAATATTACACTCATATTTTGGGGAGTTCTTAGTTGCAAATAGTAAGATCCACTCTGGCTAGTATGAATTGGAAAGAATTGTTGGGAAGGCTGAAGTGAAAGTCCTAGACCAGGTTTCCAGGAATAACTACCGGAGCATGTTGTAGAACTGGCTTCTCAGAGATGTGCTGCTTCTACACAGTTGGAAAACTACCAAACTGCATTTGCAACTGAAGCTCCCAGAACAAGCCTGCCTGTAGCACAGACAGGAAACTACCAAATCAAGGAATCAGAGTTGTAGCTGCCGGTTTCAATACTGTTCTCCTCTGTGTGTACAGATGGCATGGCAAGGGCGTCTAACCTCCTCAGCTTCTCAAGGGAAAGGAGATTCAAGATCCACAGCCCAAGGCTGATTCCTATGAAACAGAGGTCCGACAAGCCTTCATCCTCCAGCCTTTTTACCAGTTTTGATGACAGCCGTCCCTCCCGTGCACAGCAGTCTTTACTTCTTTGCTAGATTCAGTAATTTTTTGCAACGTGCACGCAGAAGTCACAGACCATACTCATGATTATGAGCTTTACTAGGGAAGTAATAGGTTACAATTCAGGATCAGAAATGACTCAGGATACAGTTGTTTGATTTAGACAGCTGCTTCTCATCCTCTGCTGCTGAGCTCTACTGGGGGCCTTCTTGCCACCTTTCCTCTGCTTCTGCTTATTGTCATATCTTGCTGTCTCCTGTGTTACTGCTCGCTCCCTGGCACGCAAATGTTCTCTCACTGTCTGTCTCTGCTTTCCACCTTCCTTCTTCCTGCATCTAGGAATTTCTCAGCACAGGGATCCTGGGTCCAAAGGACACACTCTGCATCTAACTCTTCTCTTTTGGTGGTCATGAGATCCCCCATCTGCCTCTGGGATGGCTCATTTTAAGCCTAGCCAGATGCCACAACTGACCAATCACCTCATTAGGGTTCCATATACCTTCTTTGCATGGTCCCACCACGTAGGGGCAAGGTTGTGTGTTGCTGTGATGCTGGAAACTATGCCACTGGTGTTTCCGATACCAGCAGGGTCACCTGTGGTGGGCAGGTTTCAGCAGAGCTTCTAGACTGAGATCGATTAGAAAGAAAGATATGGCCAGGTCCATCTCTGAAAAAAATTGACACTGAAAACCTTATGAATATCAGGGAAACATTGTCTGATAGAGTACCAGAAGATGAAACCCTCATTGTTAGAAGGCACTCAAAATATGATTGGCTCAAGCACAGCAGCGATTGTGAGGATGGCCCAGGACCGGACAATGTTTTGTTCTGTTATACATAGGATGACTGTCAGTCGAAATTGACGTAATGGCACCTAACAACAACAACTCCCACAAGGGTGCCATTAACCTTTTTGGTCTTATTAGCAAACTGTCCATTCCCCTTGGTTGTCACAAGCACCTCATTTGCATAATCCCCATCCAATTGATGGGAGTTAAAAAGGTTATGGCAAGAAGGGACATATTGTGATTCACTGAACCCCAATTGTCATCCTCCCACATCATCACTGACATAGAAAATAGTTCCCTCCATGGTCTGCAATGTCTTTCTCATACTTTACACCAGAACTCGGTCAGTAGTATAGTTTCACTTTACATAATTTTAATTTTTGCTAGTTATATATTATTATTCAAAGAACCAGGTACTGGTTTTACACACTGCATGCCTGTGGTTCTATGAAGATACTTTCACTGCTGGTTGCTGTGTTTGAATACAAATACAATGCACCCTTAAGTTTGCCTTCAGAGACTGTTATAGGGGAATGCCCACTTAAAATTGTGTCTCATGTTTTGTGTTAAAATACTGATCAAAGAAAATTCCTTTTAGGATTGAAAAACTTAATTGCTAAAATATTATAACAAATGATATATTTTGCCTATATCCTGATAGATGGGAGCTATGGTGGCATAGTGCCTAAGGCACTTGACTGCTAACCAGAAAGCTGGCAGTTCAAACCCATCAGCCACTCCTTAGAAGGAAGGTTGGGCAATCTACTTCCGTAGTGATACTGCCTTGGAAACCCAAGACGGGTCGCTATGGATTGGGTCTGACTCGACAGCACATAACAATAACAACATCCTGATAGATACTGTTGTTTTTTTTTTCTGTGACATCATTTGTATTGTTTTCAGAAACCGCTAAGATAGAAAATGGATAAACTGGCCCAGCTACTATTGTCAACCACTTGGAAAGGGATCCACATAGGAGATCCTGGATAGAGTAGGAGAACAATGTAGAACAAAACTCAAAATCATTAAAAAAAAAAAGAGAGCTGGTGAGACCATGGCCCCTATGTGTCCTTCAGATCTGGAATTGAACTCACTCCCATGGCTTCCAGCCAAACAATAGACAGGCATATAGGGTGAACATTTACATCAAGTAGATACACTACTTAGGGTGATCAACTATAGGAGAACAGAAGGACAATATTTGCACAGGGCTTTCAAAGAATATCTAATACCAGAAGTTGGTTATTTTTCCCCCAATACGTATGAAAGATTGATTTTTGTGATTAATAAGAAATGAAGGAGCTCTCGTGGCCTAGTGCTTAAGGCATTTGACTACTAACCAGAAAGTTGGTAGTTCAAACCCACCAGCCACTCCACGGAAGGAAGACTGGGCGGTCTGCTTCTGGAAAGATTTACCACCTTGGAAACCAAAGGGGGTTGCAATGAGTTGGAATCCACTCGATGGCAGTGAGTTTGGTTTTTTTTGATTTTAAGAAGAAATAATACTTCATATAACCTCGTAAGAGATAGTCATTTTAAGGGCTCTTTAAAGTACTTAAGCTAAGGGGGCAGGAATGCATGGGAAAGGATGACACAAGGAAGGAGTAACTACAGGGAGGAAGTAGGAAGAAAGCTGTTACATTGTGAGGAATTGCAGTGTGTCATGAAACAAAATTTGTATGAATTGCTGTATGAAAAATGAATTTGCTTTGTAAACTTTACCCAAATAAAAATAAAAATAAAATAATTATAGTAAATAAAAGGCATTTTTCTTACTGCAAAAAAGAAAATGGATAAGCTGTTACAGATTTATAAGAAGTTGTTTTATCAACAAAGCAGAAGTCACCCAAAAAGTATTTATGACGTTGTATATAATTTTTTTTTAATTACAGGACTTCATTTTTTTAGAGGATCTCTAGATTTACAGAAAAATTGAACAGATTATAGAGTTCCCAGATTACCCCCCAATACATAATTTCCCCTATTATTAATAGTTTGCATTAGGTACAATTGTGAAAATTTGTGAACCAATATTGATACATTATTGTTAATTAAAAATGGACTCTAGTGTCACAATAGTTAAGTAGTCAGCTGCTAAGTGAAAGGTCAGGAGTATGAACACACAGGAAAAAAGACCTGGCTCCCTTAAAGATCTCAGTCTAAGAGACCCTGGGGTTGCTATGAGGTAGAATCAATTCAACAGCACACAACAGCAATTATTAACTGAAGTCTGTAGCTTTTTCAGTTTTCTTTAGTTTTTATCTAATATTCTTTCTGTTCCAGGATCCCATCTAGGATACCATGGTACACTTAGTTCATGTCTCTTATGGCTTTGCTTGGCTGTGACAGTTTCTCAGATTTTCCTTCATTCTACTGACTGTGACAGTTTTGAGGAGTACTGATCAATGGGATGCCCCATTATGGGAATTTATGTCTGTGGTTAGATGAGGGTAATAGATTTTTGGGAAGAAAATCACAGATGTAAAATGGCATTTATTACATTTATTGAAGGCACCCAGTCAACAAAGATTTATGACTGCTGACATGTTGAGTTTGATCATGTAATTGAAATAGTGTTTGTCAGGTTTCTTCCCTGTGAAGTTGCTCTTTTTAAATAAATTTATATATTTAAAATAAGATAATATTGATAATTGATCTAGTTTATAAATCATCTCTACAACAGGCAAAGAGAAACCTGTGGGATGGAATTTCTCTGCACCAGAATCAGATGATTTGATTTCTGGTTTCGTGAACTAAAATGGGGTGTGGGCAAGGCCCTTAACCTCTCAAAATCTCTTCTACCCTTAGTAACAGAAGGTAAAAGGTTGGCATCATTTGCAATAGTTTGCTATTAAGGGAAAGTATGATAATTTTATATATGTTTTCAAAGGACTTCTGATACTGGAAATAGGTTTTTTATTTTCCCCCAGTATGTATTAAAGATTGATTTTTGTGGTGATTAAGAAGAAAAGATACCTCATATCACCTAGTAAGGGACAGTCATTTTAAGGACTCTAAATTGTTTAAAATCAGAATTACTCCTAAGTATTTACACCCTTAAGTAGTGAAGAAAGACTCTAAGGTAGAGGATTTCAGTTTGTTACTTGTTTTACAGCAAAGGGGAAGGTGTTTACTAAATGCCATATCACATTTTTTTGGTTGGAATTGATGCTTCATTTCAAAAGATTGAATGAAAGTGATGAGAAGGTTGAAATATAGCCTAGGGAAGAAACTAATATACTTTTTCCAGGATCATATTAGCTAGGTCTAGTGATGAACTCTATGTATGACTTGAAGAGGCTAAATTTGCTTAGGGAGCTCTGGTGGTGTAGTGGTTAAGGCATTTGGCTGCTTACCAGAAGGTCAGTGGTTTGAAACCACTAGCTGCTCTGAGAAAGAACAATGAGGCAGTCTAAAAATTTACAGCTGGAAACCCAGCGGGGGTCGTTCTGATTTGGAATCAACTTGGTGGCAGTAAGTTTAGTTTTGGGGTTCTTTTTGAGTAATTCGCTCAAGGCCACCTGACTTAATCCCATTGTTGGCAGCTGACTTCCTGTCCTTCGTAGGTTCTGTGCTTCTGTGCTCTCAACCACTGTACCTAACCAGAATCTTAGACATTTCATTCATAAAAACTTTCAACCTTTGTATAGTAATCCTATTTGCTTTATAATAGTTGATTACACCAGTAAAACTTTTTCCTTCTAACTCCTTTTCTATTTTAAAAATTGAAGGTTATCTTTTTCATGCTGTTCTGGTTTATTTTAGTTGTATCATTCCATTTGGACAGATTCTGAGCTCTTTAAAGACAAATTTTGTAATAGTACTAATAACTACTGCACTAATTTAACCTGTTCTATATGTACAATATTTAGTGTTTAATGGATGAGATGCATCAAAAAGTACCTCATGTATTTGTGTGTTGAACAGTCTGATTACATTAATGAGACTGTTTTATGAAAAATTAATTTATAAAATGTGTATAATAGAATTCAAAATTTTAAAATAACATATAAAAATAAAGTAAAAAGCAAGACTAACTGAATGTTCCTTTAATTTTTTGACAGAATAATGGTATTCTTGAGTAACAAGAATTTTTTTTTTTTTTTAAAGCTCTTAACAGATAATTCTTCCCCAGACCAAGGGCCAAATAAGGTTTTTGATCTTTGCGTAGTATGTGGAGACAAAGCATCAGGTAACATTAAGAATAGCCTCCTATCAATATTGTTAAATAACTACCTAACTACCATGATTCTTCTACTAAAAGCAAAAAGGGAAGTAAAGGAGTATGTCATTTTTATGTTGAATGTATTTGTAGTCTATGAAATTTGACAGATTTTCCCCAAAGCTTTTTATTCACCTGAAGATATTTTCTCACTTTAATGTAGTTTCATTAGATTTTATAATGACTTATAAAATGAAATATAAAGTACATATTTCAAAGAATCATGAAAAATAGTTTCTTTTTAAAAGTAAATATGAGAATATTTTGCATGTGAAAACTAGAAGTTTTGTCAAATCATTTAAAAATAATTTATGATTCTTAATAATACATAACAGTAAGCCCTATTCTCATTCTATTGAATTATTGAGGTTGGGGAAAAAATTCTGATTAGCCGTATTTAGTGCTCTGCCTAGCTGACTGAAAAGGCATTTCTTAAAGCCTGTTAAGTGTTCGGGGTTGTATCACTTTGGTGTCTTCATATCAGAAGTGCATGCTTACATCCACTTGTGTGTGCATGTGTGTCTCCTGTTGATGAACGCCAGTGAGATCAGTGGGATATAGTTCATGGTTTAAGGGCACAGTTTATTTCCTTTAATCTTCTTTTATCTTTTTGACGCTTGATTACAAAGACTTCCTCTAGAACTTTTCCCAGAATATGATCCATTTGTTAATAAATGTGTAAAAAAAAAAAAAAAAAAGATTGTGAAATGACAGGTTAACCAAAGTATAACAGATTTCTTCAGAAATTTCAAAAGTGGAGCTCATAATTTGGAGTAATTACTGGTTTTGGAATATTAGCTGACATTTTATGCTTTTTTTCTTGGGCACAGTTTTCCAAATAAAATACTTCTTCTATAATATATACCAAAACTATAATTTCTAATTGGTATCAGAAGAGAAAATAGTTTTTATGTTAAATAATGAGATTGTAGGTTCACTTTTTCCCCCCAGATTATCTATGCCTTTGTTAAGATCACTTTATAAAATAACTCATATTGTATAATTTCTCAAAGAATATAATTATTTCATTCTCAATTTAGTGACTCCTAAAAAAAGTTTTTCATAGATTAAAAAATCTCACTGTTTCATCTCTTAATTTTGTTAATATGTAAAGGGAAGTAATAGGTGTGTTTCGTTTGTCTTAAAATATGTGACTTGTATTTCTTAAACATTTTGTCTCTAGGACGTCATTATGGAGCAGTAACTTGTGAAGGTTGCAAAGGATTCTTTAAAAGAAGCATCCGAAAAAATTTAGTGTATTCATGTCGAGGATCAAAAGACTGTATTATCAATAAACACCATCGAAACCGCTGTCAATACTGCAGATTACAGCGATGTATTGCTTTTGGAATGAAACAAGACTGTATGTATCACTATAAGGGAGAAAATACTTGTAAGGATTCAGACATGCAAGAAGTATATATTAACATTAAAATATGTCAAATATGTACACCTGGTAATTTACAATTTTCCAACTAAATATATAGTAATATATACATATGTACTTTTCAGTCATTCAACAAGTATTTATGTACATATGTACCAAGCATTTATTTGTAGTTTGAACTTAGTAACAAAATACCAGTTTTAGTGATCTATTTATTACTAATGAGATAATAATAGCTAACATTTATTGAACTCTCATGATGGCTGACACTGTTAAGCCTATTGACTAATTTATCCTCACAGCAATTCTACATAGTAGTAGATATTGTTCTCCTTTTACTTGCAGGTAAACACAGTAACTTGCCCAAGGTCACAAAACTAGTAAGTGGCAGAAGTTGAATTTTAGTCCTAGCAGATTCCCCACACCCCAAAAATGCGCATTTAACAACTATATTATCTCCTAAGAAGTATCTGGGAGCTTTAGTGGCATAGTTCCTAAAGCATCTGACTGCTAACCAGAAGGGTGGCAGTTCAATCCCACCAGCCACTCCTTGGAAGGAAGACTGGGCAATCTACTTCCGTAGAGGTACCACCTCGGAAACCCAAGGAGGGGTCGCTGTGAGTCAGAATTGACTCGACAGCAGTGAGTTTGGTTTGTAATAAGTATCTTGAAATAAAATTCTTACAAAGTACTACCGGTATTTTATAAATGAAGGCCAAACAATTATTTTCCTTGCCCTTAACTAAAAAAATTACCTTGATCTTTTTGTGGCTATTAGAATTATTTTCAATTGGTTAAATTTCAATTGATTTTTAAGACCTAAAGGACCCCTAACTTCATTCTTTTAGACTCTGAGCTTATAAAAAAGTGAGAGTTCCTCTTTATTTCTACACTATGGGAGCAGGAAGAGAAAAGAGAGATGCAAATTGTCAGTTTGACTATTCTGAAGGAATCTTGTTGAATTTGTAAGTAATTTCTAAAGATTGGTCATTATCTTGGCACTTCAATTTTGGTAAGCATGTCTCTTATTTGCAGCATTGCTAACCTAGAGTTTACATTTACAGTTGCCTAGAAATTCACATTATGATTTAATAGCCTGACATATTTTTGTAGCTGTTCAGTGTGAAAGAAAACCCATAGAGGTATCAAGGGAAAAATCTTCCAACTGTGCCGCTTCAACAGAAAAAATTTACATCCGAAAAGACCTTCGGAGCCCACTAGCTGCGACTCCAACTTTTGTAACAGATAGTGAAACTGCAAGGTATAGTTAAAAAAAGTAAATAAGTAGCTGGTCATTTGTTCTTCTCCCCAATGAAACTAAGACTAACATTTGTACTTACTTGTTACAGGTCAGCAGGACTGTTAGATTCAGGAATGTTTGTGAATATTCATCAGTCTGGAATAAAAACTGAGTCAACTATGCTAATGGCACCAGATAAGGTATGTTTAGTTTAATTTAGGTTGAAAGTTTTTCCATTTCTTCATCTCCAACATCAGTCTGGTCATTTGATTTGGTCTTAAGTAATCCCTTTTACAAGGGGTGTGTGTGTGTATGTGTGTGTGTTTAACATAAATTAGACATGCTAGACATGTTCATTATTCCACTTGGACAGTTGTGGCTTCATCCTGAAAGTGACAACCATTTAAAAATCTTCCAGGTTTCTCTTTTATCTTGAAATAAAAGTCCTCAAAAAAAGAGACATAATATTTGCAAAATTCTTATATTCCTTTTATGTTCCCCTATAAATTGTGTAGTTCCAAAATCCTTAAAATATTTCAGGTAAAGAAAAATTCTTAGCTTACCTCAGTCAAAACATTGACTTGAGTCAAGAGTAGGGATAGGATTACAAGAGCTTCCATATTGAGTATCCAGGTCATCTGGGTTCTGTTAAAGATTGGAACAGCTCTTTACTGAGAAAGGGTCTAAAGGAAAGAGTTTTTTTAGATGGAGCATGTAGTTTCTTTATTTTTAGAAACCGTCTTATGAAAGCAGGAAACACAAATTCTCATGAAGTCTCATATTTAGAAACAAATTTTAGGGCGCCTATAACCAAGGTTCCACTCAGCTTATAACATGATTTGCTTTTATATAACCTATAAGGTTATTCATACTTCTTATTGCTAGATTTGTTATATACTTGTTGCTTTATACCTTAAGACATTCTAAATACTTGTGCTCTCGAATCAAATTCGTCTGCCACATAAGAGCTGCATACCCTTGGCCTAGTTATTTGACCTTTTAGTGCCTCAATTTCTTCATTTATAAAATAGGCATAATAAGAATGTCTACCTTAAGGTTTATGCTTTTGCTTTTATTTATGAAGTGAGGAGATTTGTCCTCTTATCATACATTTCGGCATTGTAAGATTGAATTTAGGAAACCAAGTTTTCTTGAGAAACTACTATTTTCCCAGTTACTTTTAAATTTATCTTTATTACATTTTTATTACAACCTTGTGTGATAAATTTCTTTGACAAATGATTCCAAAGTTTTTTAAGCCACAGCATGAGATTCTTCTACTCTACTGTTCTGTCCTAGTCTTTAATGGCAAAAACTTGAAAATCTCATTAGGTAGACATATTACTAAATGAAGAATAGTATGTGATTTATATAAATTAACATTTCCCCCTATATATCCTGTTTCCAATAGCATACAGTTAAAATGATTTTTTATTTTAAAATTTAGGTCTAGATACCACCTCAAAAATACGTAAGCTTCTAAGTTTTAGCTGAAAATTAAAACACTTTAAAAATCTGTTTCGTTAACAGTGGCATGTAAGAGAATAAAATACCTAAGAATAAATTTAACCAGGGATATTAAAGACTTATACAATGAAAATTGCAAAATACTACTGAAAGAGATTACAGAAGATTTAAATAAAGGGAAATATGTTCTGTATTCACGGATTGGAAGTTTTAATACTGTTAAGATGTCAGTAATACCCAAAAGGATCTATAGATTCAGTGCATCCCAATCAAAATTGTAACCTTTCTTCCTGTTCTGGTTACCTAGTGCTGCTCTGACAGGAATCATACCACAAATGGGATGGCCTTAATAAACAGGAGTTTATTCTTACAATTTGGAGGCTTTAAGTCCAAGTTCAAAGTGCCAGGCCCTAGGGGCTGGGTGAAAGCCCCTCAACCTTGGGGTCCAGCTCTGCTTCCTGCTCCCGGCCTACTGGAACTAGAAGCGTTTCTTCACTCAGACAGCTGCTGGCTGCTGAGGCTGAGAAGCCCCAAGGTTGACAAGTAAAAAGGCACAGTCTCCATGTTACCAAACCAAACGGCAGGCCATTAACTTAAGTCCATTGTAAGTCCCAAGGTCGGCAGAGCATAGCAGGCTGCTCAACAAAGACACAGCTCCATGCAGGGTCTGAGCATGCCATAGGCTAGAGACCATTCTCAAAGCTTCTCCTTACATACAGGAAGCAGACCACATACCCAAAGGCAGCTATTCAGCTGCTCCCAGTAGATTCCACCATGGAGTTGATTACCAGTCTCATCATGGGGAATACTACATCCAGCTGCCCAGCCACTCAACCAGGCCCAGGCAAGTTGACAAACAAATATAACCACCACACGTACAGATAAGGAAAAAACAATCCTCAGCTTTATGTGTGCAAAAAGGGCATCCTCTGACCTCCTCTGACTTCACAAGAGGGAGACAGGGTCACCATCAGCAGCATCAGCCCAAGGCTGATTCCTCCGAGGCAAAAGTCAGACATGCCGCCACCCTCTCGTATTTTTACCAATTCTGACACCAACCATCCCTCCCATGGCACTCTCTACTTCTCTTTTTGGTTTGATAATTCATTGCCAGGCCACACACAACTCACAGATATACTCATAATTATGGGGTTTATTGGAGAAGTAATCAGGTTACAATTCAGGATCAGGAACACACAAAATACAATTCTTCCATCAGAACAGCTTCCCCTCATTTGTGCCCAAAGGTAGGTCTCTCTCTGTCCCTTGGCCCCTCAGCTTAGCCACTGCCTTGCTTAGGCAAGTGTTATAAAGCTCTTTTAGCTCTGCCTCTGTCAGAGGTACCCCATCCACCAGCAAGCCTCCTACCTAGGAGCTTTCTTGCTCCATGGGCCAGGACGCTCACCACTGTGTCTAATGCCAGTCTCTTGGCTCTGCTACCTTTGCTGTCAGCCTCTCTCTGCCATCTCAGCACAGGGATCTTGGGTCTAAGGATGTGCTCCATTCCTGTCTCTTATTTAATGGCTATGAGATCTCCTTTTCTGCTTCTGGGATGGCTCATTTTAAGCCTAACAAGACGGCAAAACTGACCAATCCCCTCGTTAAGGGGGTTTTTTGCATGCTCTCGCCCCCACAAGGGTGCCGTGTGCCTTATTTACAATATTAGCAAGCTATCCAATTCCCCTGGTGGGCCACAAGCACCTTACATTTGCATCGTTCTACCCAGTCATCTTGTGGGAGTCAAAAACACCGTAGCTAGAAAAGCCATATTAAGGAATTCAGTGTACCACAATGTGGAATAGAAAGAGGCCTCAAATAGTTAAAGCAGTGTTGAAAGAGGAGAAAAGAACAAAGTAGGAGGACTGGCACTTCCGGATTATATATGATTTCATATACAACTACATGACCCAGCATTTCCACCCCTAGATACATACCCAAAAGATTTGAAAGTAAAGACTAAATAGAGACTTGTATAATGATCATTGCAGCACTATTCAAAGTAGCCAAAAGGTGGAAACAACCCAATGCCCATCAACAGATGAATGAATAAACAAATGTGCATACGTGAAATGGAATACTCTCAGCTAGTAAGAGAAATGAGCTCTTGATACGTGCTGCAGTATGGATGAAGCTTGAAGACATTATGCTGAGTGAAATAATTCAAGCACCAAAGAACAAATACTGTGTGATCTCACTTATATAAATAAGATACCAAAAACCAAAACCAAACTCATGGCCATCGAGTCAATTGCAACTCTTAGCGACCCCCATTTGGTTTCCAAGGCTGTAAATCTTTACGGAAGTAGATCGCCCCGTCTCCCTTCCGCAGATCAGGTGATGGGTTTGAACAGATGCCTTTGTGGTTAGCAGCCAAATACCTTAACCACTACACCATAAAAGTTAAGGACAAATGTCCAACAACTGAGGAATGGATAACCAAACTTTGGTACATTCACACAATGGAATACTATGCAACGCTAAAGAATAA